ATAGTATTTAATGTTTGACGTGCAGTGATAGTGAAAGACCATCAAGAGGTAACTTTTGAAAAATTTATCAGCTTTTCTAAAATTTGCATAGCATGTTTAAAAGAATAAAACAGTTCGCCAATTTTGGCCTGGAAAATAGGGTTGAAATCGCTTTAAAATAAACCAATTTCAAAATACTCTCCAAGGTCTTGTAGAGTGAAGTTTTAGGTTTAATTTAGGTACTTGGAGATCTCAAAAAGGTTTTTAAGCATTGCTTATACTAGCACGGTAACCCAGATCAAATTTGTTTAAGCAATGTTTGTGATAAATCACATTTTTTGCGTGGTCAAGTTTTGTTCGGGTTTTTTGGATCATCCTGAATCAAAAAGACCTCCATCAACTAAAGCTGACCATTTTTTAGTTATAGGCGATTTATGGTCTGAAAAGCCCTAAAAATTGTTATATTCAATGCTTAAAAACAATGTTAAAAATTATAATTTTTGAGGTTGCCAAGTATCTAAACTAAAACTTAAACCTTGCTTTACTTCATTTTAGAATGATTTTTAACCTTGTCTGCTAGAGCAAAATTGGTGAAGTTTTGGTTTTCGTAGACTGTATATAAAAAATATAACAAAACTTATTCCTATAAACATAATTTTTTGGTCCTATTTCGGAATGGACGCAATCCAATAAAAACTATAGTTTATGAAACTAGGAATAGCCAAAAGTACTTACTGGAGTATATTACAGTAATAATAATTAATTCTGCATGGAAATGCTGATAATTCAAAGATTCTGTGATAATTAATATTTACTTCTGTACCTGAATTCAAAAAATATCAAATATAACATAGAACCACCCCAAATATGGAGTAAGAAGTATATGGAAAATGTGCCTTCACCTTTTTATTAGTCTTAAGTACTTTTGTTCAAGAAGATAAACAATTAATAATATAATGGGTAAATAAAAGTTGAACGATCATAAAAAGATATTGTATCACTCTCAATTTAAGTACAAAAAAAATTTCTATTCGAAATGATTTTTTTACTGCCCACTGGCGGGAAAATATTGTAATCGCGAAAATTTTCGAAAATGAGATATGTTTATTGGATGTAATATTGGTCTGTATTCCTGTAGGTATGTCCGCAAATCTGATAACCGCCTATAACTTGAGAAGTACCGCTCGGATTTCGAAGAAATTTTTACACAATACTAATATGCCAAGGACGCAAAAGCTTTTTAGTTTTTGAAAATCTGTCCAGTATCGCCATAGAAAAAGGCTAAAAATGAAAAAGAATAAAAATCGTTCAAACTTCGTTCTATGATCCTGGATATTTTTGAAAAAATCTATACACCTACTAGACATATTCCACACATCAGACTTAGAAAAATATTCTCGGCAGACTAATTGTATTAACTTGTTTGAATAACTTTTTTCTCAGAACGTCAACATTTATTTTTGGTTTCATCAATATTATTAAAGCTCCATTTCTTACATGGAAATCTAAAAAGAAAAATGACCAACACTGTCTAGATGTCCACGGGGCGATTTTCTCTCCCTATTATCACTAATTCAAAAAAAAACTGATTTTCTTGTACATCCAAACAGTATTGTTATTCATTTGTAATACATGGGCGACATCAAGTTGTTTGCAAAACATGCTTCAACAAAACGATCTAAATATGCGTTTTTAATTAGATACGTGTGCAACAGCATTATCGTTGTTGTTTTGTGATTTCTGATCTAAAAAATTAGGTTGCTGAAGCATCAGTAAACCTTTAACTTTTCATTTTTAGATAAGGCATTTAATTCTTCTCAAAATGTCCCTCTTGAGGAATGTTTGTCACAGCTTTCGTTTTGAAGAAAAATCGTATTGAATATTGAAGATAAAATTCGTAAAAAATGCATTTCTAAATTTAAAATATACAAATTGACATTAGGTGTTTGAACTGGAAGTAATATATTAGCGATATTTGAACAATACTTATTCATGTACCTACATATAAACATCTCTCCTTAGTGAATGCGCATACCATTTTAAAACTTTAGTGGAATTCAAAGACATATGCATATATTTTCGAGTAAAAAAATCAGAATAAAAGTGGTATAAGTTTCCCAAATATAGTGTTTGAAACGTTCACTTCTGGTTTTGCACCTCATTTTGTTTTAAATTCAATATTTATGAAAATCGTATAAAAATATAAACTATAATTTGTAAATGTCAAAATATTTTTAAAATGATTATTAGACCTGAAATTTGATTTAATTGCCCCGAGGTACCTATGAGTGTTTAGGCGTTAGGCCTCCGGGGAAGTTCAAGTATAAAAAAAACAAATCGATTTTTTTTTCGCAAAAATCCCAATTTCAAATACTCTTTCGAAGTCCGTAACTTAGCACATGAACGTGACACAAAAGAAAAACGTTTCCTCTGTCACACTGACTAGATATACAAAGAGTCCCAATAGGCCCGCTTCCCGTGAAATGCCCGCAGAGGCAGTTTCTACTTCAAAATGAACAAAATTAGTACTTCTAATTCATGCAAAATCGTTTTCTCAAGTAACAAAAGTGGATAATAATGAAGTTTCTGTGTTCTGTGTGTATGTGTAGGTACTTCTATAAGTAATAAGTATATTCTTCTTTACAAGCAAGAAGAAATTACTGAAAACCGTTCGCAATAACGTACTCTAACAGTAGCTTTACAGTTAGAGATGAGTAGGTACTAAAATGTATACCGCTATTGTGTCGAAGAATATGTGCCATGCAAAATTAAAATTATTGGCTACTCGATTAACAGCAAAATGAAAAATGTTTAATTAAAAGCAACGAAGGCGTTAAACGAGACCTTAAAAATTTATGTTTTCTTATTTTCTTAAAAGTTCAAATCTGAGAAAAAATAAATAGCTTAAAATCCAACAACAGTACTGAAATCTCAACTGCACGCGACCTGAAATACTGTTCAGAAATTTTGGGATATCATTTATTGAATTTTATCGATTGTTCAATGAAGAGTCCCCAAAATGAAGGATATCTAAAAAATGCAGCGATAAGTAAATATTGAAAAATTATTGGAACCAGTAGTACATGACTAATTAATGCAGTTTATTGAAAAAACAACACAAGCAGGCTCTCACAAAAAATATTTCACAGAAACGTCTTTCCAGTTGGTTACTGAGAATTGGAGACGAGCCATAGACTCAGAAGAAGTTATCATAGATGTATTTTTGGATTTGAAGACGGCAACAATCGATAGAGATAGGGATATTTTATTAGATAAAGGGTTTTAGATTGGATTAAAAATATTTGTCTAAGAGGACTCAAGTTACAAAAGTATTATTTCATCAAACATTGAAAATATGTTAGGTGTTCCACAGGGTAATACCCTGGGACCGCTTTCTTTTATTTTATACATAAACGATTTACCTGGCATAGTAATCAAATGCACAATTCAAATTTTCGTTGATGACACTTGGATTTTTATATAAGTATTCAAAATATTCATTCTGGTATCTCTTATACGAATTAAGACTCAAAACTTGTTTCAAAAAGGTTAGCATCTCACAAACTCAAATTAAATACAAGTAAAACGAAAACTATTTTAATTGGTAAAAACGAAAGTACAAATGTTCAACTAAATATTGATGATAAAGATATTGAATTCGTAGGAAATTTTAAATATGTACATTGAGATTTTCGTTGAACCACAGTTTCTGGATGTCTGGGTTCACATAGTATAAAAATTATCTATAATACTATCATTCTTCCAAATTTCTTGTAAAAGCTGAATAACGATAAATATACTCGAATAAGGCATAATTATTATGCTTAGCAAATTAAAATGGCGCAAGGTGAAAAATACTATCAAATATCTTGTAAGGATATTAACTTATAAAGTAAAAAATAATATATTTCCACCATGCCTTATTAAATTAACATCATCAAATGCTGAACATCATTTACATCATACCAGAAATAAAGATGACTTCCATTTAATTTTCAATATCTATACGTTACAAATCTGTATTCTATAAAGGATTGATTAAATATAATAAATTAAACATAGAGATAAAAGGCTCGAGTATTTATCACAAAATTCAAAGTAAAATTGATGTATCACCTGTTAAATTCACAATAAATTATATCTTGCCCAGCATTTGCATCATACGAGGGATGTCTTTTAAGTTTTGCATATGGAAATAAAACAGCACGGTAGGTAGTTTTAAATGACTTTATTGTTTTTAATTTTCGGGAAAGTAAAGAAATCGTTAGGACTTAGATCGGGACTATATGAAGGATGGTCCAATAATTCCATGGTTCCTTCCGTTAAAATGCTGCCTTGTTTTTTGGCGTGTGTGCGAGCTTGCATTGTCTTGGTGGAGGATGATTGTTCTTTCGGGGTTGATTTTTCGAAGTTCGGTGATGATTTTTGGCAAACAAATGGTGGTATACCAATCCATACCAGTAACAGTTTTTTGCTCATTAAGAGGAATTGTTGCAATATGACCCGCTTTTGACACAAATGTCGCGACCATCTTTTTGAAACACTTCGAGAACGGATGACTTTTGTTGGCTTTTCTTCACCTTGGAACACCCGAACAGCCGACTGTCGTTTATTTTCTGGTTCATAACAGTAAATCCACGATTCATCACCACTAACAATACATTTTTTGAGTTTCCGGAATTGAACTACTATGTTTCTATATGCAAAACTTAAAAGACATCCCCGTATGACCTGAATTTACTAATTATTGTAAGTTGTTTATAATCATTCTGTTCATGTAGCCAAACGTGCTAAATAAATCTTATTACTACTAAGAATGGATTTTATATTTTTTAACTAGATACTTAGCAGGTATTTTCACAATATAAAAATTGGTTTAATCTGTATTGATTTTGAAATTTTGGTTATTTTAACAATCGTGAACGAAGCCGCGGATAACTCTATATTACTACACCATTTCTCTTAATTTTGACCTACTGATTGAAATCTATCATTTTGACAATTCACGTCAACTATATTAGTCTGTTTCAGATAAAACCTGAAGAAAAAATGCTTAGAAAAGTTCAATCTCCCACGGTTAAGCACAAATACTTAAGATAAGAGAAAAAGTGTTCCAAATGTACGACAGCTCCTGATTTTCATCAGCATAGTTCCAGTTTTCGAAGACAGGTAAGTTCTATAGTATTGTAGCGTTTTTCTGGGTTCTTTTTGGGGGTGGATTAAAACACTGGATTCCACAAAAAGAAATGCACTAATTTATTTAACTTGATAAAACATTTATATGCACCACTATTTATATCTGACTAATTCTTATATCACCATTGACTGCACTATACTTCTCTTCGCTCTGCTACTCCACCGTATTCCGTACCCTGCTTCCCTCTCGTCGCCGTCGGGTTATATAGTCCGCATCGTTTGTCAAGAAGAGTATGGCGGGCCACAAAGCGGAAGTCTAGACTCTTCGAGATCACTTCGCGTCGATCTAGAAGGCGATCCACTGTCCCGGTCCTCACAGACGCCGCCAGGCGGCTTGTGCGCCGTGGTTCGCGTAAAAGCAGAGATCGGCATTTAGGCTCTGGCGAGTAGGAGACTCGCCCAACAGATGGCGCTATTCGTCACAGTATTTATAATTCTAATTGAAACTGAAGAACAAACAATGCCCTCTAAATATTGAGGAATATAAGCGGCTGTATACCCGTTTTGTTTCTGGCGTTTATGCTCCGTTGTATCGCCTTGCTAAGGGCAAACTTAAGCTAATTTCAATCTTAACTTTCATGTCAACTACAACTGTCAGTTTGACATTTTTATAATTTGTCCGATTTGGCCTACAGACCAGTGTGTGTCAAGTTCTAGGTGAATTGAAGACTGCGGATATGGAAAGATCATCCAGTTCTAAGATGCGTGATGATAATATTTTGTAGCCACTCAGCAGGAACATCGACCAAGTTTGGCCTTGTAGCGTGATGTATTTCACCGAATTATTTGAATGCCGTTTAGGGATGCGGATATTTCAGAATATTTGTAAACTAATGAATTCGTTCCAAAGGAAGTACCGGGTGATAAATATTGTATTTATAGTAGCAAATTTAATAACGGTGCAGGGAAGGAATCACCTTCAACCAATCTAACTAAAAATATACAGGGTGACTTTGAAGTTGAGTCATTAATTTTCTGATAATGATTGTAGAAGGAAGATAAACCAAAATATGTGTGTAAAAATAAAAAAAAAATAAAAAAAAATGTTACCTTGTTTTATAAAGTATCCTCCCGACAAGTATTTCATTGCGGACCTGTATTTGATCGTGCGGTCTTGGAGCACCGGCATGCCCTCCCCTGTGAGGTCTTAAGTCACCTGATCCACGAGCCCTTTGTACTACATTAACAAAGGCACGAGGGGCTGGTTGCACTCGATTGGGAAACCGATTCGCTTAAATCCGTGATGCCACGGCAGCATTTTGTAAAGACTCCCCCCCCGTAAATAAGAATCATGTCCACAAGTTCAGCATTTTCGTAAACATGTGCCATTTTTTATTTCGTTTGAGCCACGCAACAAACACTACTATTCACTCACGCGTTACCAACTGACACATTGACTAACATCGTGATAAACGTTTCAAATTCTTTCGCTTTTTTGTTTCCGATGCGATGAACCGATAAGGCGGATTATATCCGTTGTTGCCAAACACGAGCACATAATATTATTATTAAGACAGGGCGGTACTCAAACTTCTAAAGGGCTATAACTTTGTTAATTTAATTTTACCAGAAAAATGTTAAAGGAAAAAAACATTTCTTTTGATCAGATCTACTCACTGTTAAAATAAATGACTCAACTTCGAAGTATGTATATGTACATTTGATTATATCACTGGGCTTGCCTTTTACTTCATACGCCAAAACTGGCGAGGAAGTATTGTAATCGCTAAGAATTTCGAAATCGAGATATTCTTTCACTCATTTTCATCGGTCTGTCTGTCAGCTAATTTTAAAACCGCCTATAACTTGAGAATTACCGCTCGGATTTTGATGAAATTTTCATACTAAGTTACTTCTATGCAAAGGATGAAAAAGCTCTGTTTTCGAAAATCGGTGTAGTGAAAAAAAAAGGAAAAAAAATCGCTTAAACTTCGTTTTTGACGTTTCAGATTCTCTTGATCGTTTTCGGAAACTGCTTAGGGATTGAAACTTAAGAGTTTTGGGCGTTGTAGGGGGTAGGTGGTTATAAATTTCATAAACGTCTTTAGTATTAGTCAAAGCCGTCTATCATTAAAAAGCCTCTGATTCCGGTAACAACGGGGAAAAACATGATAAAAGCTCCAATGTATAATTCGATTTGACTGCAATAGTTGGCGTTGCGTGCACGACGCGATGCTACATCGTCGTGCAATGACAACAATTGATTACAAACTCCACCCAGTCTGCGGTGGTGTCGTCACTGACACACCTCTACAAGAGAAATATTTACATATTTATTTTAGCAATATTTCTATATCCACACATATATTTTTCTGATTCTCAAAACTACCACCCATTTTGCCGAACATTTAATATGGGAATATATCGTCAAGCAGATTGACTCAGTACTTATGACGCATTGATATATATATATATATATATATATATATATGAGACATCGTTTAAATTTTTTCCTGACTTTATTTGTATTGGGATTTCAAAATAAATAGCACATTTATTCCACAATATATCTGAATAGAATTCTTAATTCTGATTCCAAAAATGCATGATATGTCATACATTGACATTGCTAAATGTTAGTTATGCCAGAAAAAAGAAACAGAAGTTCCTAGGTAGGCCTTGGAATTATCAGATTTCATTTGCTTTGTGTACCAAACCAGACCTCAGATTGAACATAGCGACAGAGTTTGGAAGACTGAGCAATGAAGAATGAAAAAAATCAGGCTTTGCCTATAAAATAACGGACAGCATTTTAAACATCTGCTATTATTTACCCGTGTTTATGATCATTATTGTTCTTACAATCAATAAAATACACTGATCAACAGCCAAAAAATATCCTAAATAAAATCAACAAAATATTACTATCTTTAATGTGCTAAAACCGGAATGAAACTTATTTTTTCAATATTAGTTCAAGTTTTAGAGATACGGTAATTATATGCGTTCCTGCTGTGACAGTGTTAATATACTGTAATTCACACACATCATATTAATGATTGTTACTTTTGCATGGTATCTTGTGTTGGACAAGCCACAGGTATGTCCAAGAAAAAAAAATCGGTTATTAACTACCCAAACATACCATCTGCGATGAGACCCGTGCCTCACAGTGACGAAAATCCTATTCCATAACCCCCAGAATCCTACACTTGCGAATCAGAAAACGAATCAGATCATGGCGATCGAGTGATTCGTCAGGAATAAGATATGCCATCAACGTCAAGAGATCCTGATTTTATACCGAGCACGTCATGCCACCAACCGCACAAAATAACACAGTCAGAATTAAATGATCTTGTAAGAGATCTAGAACTTCCAAAATGTAAGGCAGAGTTACTTGGATCAAGACTGCAGCAGTGGAACTTGTTAGAAGACGATGTTTCGGTATGTGTTTTTCGTAAACGCCACAAAGACTTAGAACCATTTTTCAATATGGAGAATAACTTGGTTTCCTGCAGTAACATTAACGGCTTACTGGCGGCTTTAAATATAAACTATAACCCAGAAGAATGGAGATTGTTTATAGACAGTTCAACATTGAGTTTAAAGGCAGTGTTATTGCATATTGGAAATATTTTACCATCTCTTCCTGTAGGGTATGCAGTTCACATGAAAGAATCATATGACAATATGAAGTACCTATTGACATGCATAAAATACGATGAGCAGCAATGGCATATTTGTGGCGATTTGAAAGTTGTTGCACTTTTACTTGGGCTGCAGCTAGGCTACACAAAGTTTTGCTGTTTTTTGTGTGAATGGGACAGTCGGGCAAAGGCACTTCATTACACCAGACAAAACTGGCCTGTTCGTCAATTCCTAGAGCCAGGTCAAAAAAATGTACAGCATATGCCATTAGTAGATTAGAAAAAAAAATTATTACCACCACTGCATATCAAGTTGGGCCTAATAAAAAACTTTGTCAAGGCATTAGATAGAGATGGGTCAGCTTTTCAATACCTGCGTCAGAAATTTCCAAGACTAAGTGAGGCAAAGGTTAAAGAAGGTATTTTTGTTGGGCCACAGATTCGAAATATTTTGAAAGATACACAGGTTGAAAACACTTTAACAGGTATTGAAAAAACTGCTTGGAATGATTTCCGTCTGGTGGTCACTAATTTCTTGAGAAATAGAAAAGCTGACAACTATAAAACCCTTGTCAAAAATTTACTGTCATCGTATCAAAAGATGGGCTGTAATATGTCTCTTAAGATACATTTTCTACACTCACACCTGGACTTTTTTCCTGACAATTGCGGAGCCGTAAGTGATGAGCACGGCGAACATTTTCATCAGGATATTTCAACAATGGAAAAAAGGTACCAGGGAAAGTGGAATCCTTCCATGCTTGCAGACTACTGTGGGACTCTTGGTAGAGATGCTCCAGAAATGATCCATAAAAGAACAGCAAAAAGACAGAGCATATAGTGATTCTTATAAGTATATGAATCTTGTTACTTTTTTAATATATCCTTAAAAATAAAAAGTTTTTTTTCTAAACCGCAACTAATTTTTTTTATTTCATTGTCATTTTTGGATTCAGCGCTTCAAAATTAACAAAGAAGTGCACTTTTCCCACAAGATACAATTAAAAAACTAAAATTTGTTGTCCAGTGATTCATTTTGTGTTCAGGTTTCACCATACCTTTTTTTATTTCCTTCCTAGGACTAAAAAGTCGATTTAAATGTACAAAGGTCCATTATATCATCCATATGAAAAACCAAGATGGTGATGGAAGTCGAAAGAAATATTAAATCTTGTCAGTATAAAATGTAACGTCTGTGAAAACATTTTTTTTTTCACGTATAACCAATTTGAGTTTTTTGTTGCTTCAATGATGATGCATTTATCAGTGTTTTTCATTAAATGGTAGTAATCGGATTGTTGATCAAAATGAAAAAAAAAATCGTAATATTTGATCTTTGGTCTGATACAACATAACACGATTTTTAAACTCGTTAGTGTATATATGCAACATAATGAGTGTGCAAAAAATGAAATAAAAACGGTCAACGCACAGCGGAACTCTTAAATAGGGTTAATTTCATTTCCTTCGCTCAACCAGAATAAACTGCTTTTTAAATTGGCAGTATCACAGGGAATAAATATCTGCTGCATGAGTGTGACGCGGTAGCACAACTTTTTTGATTAATCCTTTGACAGACATCTGTTTGGAATCAATCTCAACTGGCAAATATATTTTATAATTTTCAACTGTACGTGCTATTTTATTTTACCATTGATTGCTGTATTACTCTTAGAGCACAATTTTGTTTAATAAAATTGCCGGTAAGACAATTAAGCTTTTAATAAGTATTTTGCGTTATGAGGTATACAGCATATTTATACGACATTTAAACTTACTGAACAATCTTGGTTCATGATAACTCTATGCTGGCATTTCCTGATACGAGTTTATTCGTTTGCGAAAATCAATAAAATTGTTTTATTAGTGCTCTGTGGAATATTTATAAAATTGATTTATTAATATTTTTTTTCTGATATTATGGGGATTTTATTTTCGAAGCCTGTACATAGTCGAGGATTCGCCTAGCAAGATTTTGCGTTAATCGAACAAATGGGGACAATTTTGAATAGTTTTTGTAAAAACGGTATCCATTTAACTTAATAATGATTTTTTTAAAATAATTTTTAATAATGTAAAACAACTAACTTATTATGCAACTTTTATATAGGTGATTTTTGGTATATCAACTTCTTTTGACGAATTCTACAAGCTGTAAAAATAAATGACTCAAGTTTGAAAACACCCGATATCATTAACACCGTCATAATAAAAAAATATATAACAATTATAGAACAAAAAATATTTGTAAGGATACAAAAGCATTTATTAATAATAATAATTAATTCCGTAACGTCTTTGAATTTGCTTAATCTAAAAACGGGGTATGGTTAAGCAAACATAAAAAACAGTTTTACGACAAATTTTAATACTGTTTTATAAACATTTACTCAACATTTTTATACTACATTTAGGCTTACTGAACAAATTTTTTTTATAAAAAAATCATACTGGTATTCTCTGATACGAGTTTATTGGTCATTAAAATTGTTTCATTTGATCCTGTGGAACATACATAAAATTAATTTATTAATATTTTCTGATATTATCGCTCGCATATTGCCCTTAGATGGAACTTTTTTGGCAATGACATCAATATTGAAACGATATCATTCTCAAGAAATTTTATTGAGAAGTAATAAGAAAAAATTAATAATAATTCGTTTAATTTTATTACTGGGTATGGTTAAGCATTGAAATTCATATCCTCGCTTTGATCCAACAGACTTCCCAACTATGAAAGATATTTCATAATTTTCAATTGTCCGAGGTCGGTTAAATGATACAAATTCAAAGGCGTTCCGGAATCAACAAGAAAAATGGATGCGTTATTCGTTTTATAAATGTACCTATTAATAAATGCTTTTGTATCCTTACAAATATTTTTTGGTTTATAATTTTTGTATGTACCTTTTAATTTTGACGATGCTAATGATAACTTACTGTCTGAGTGCAATATGCTTTAGCGAGCGATATTATCAGAAAAAAAATTAATAAATCAATTTTATAAATGTTCCACAGAGCACTAATAAAACAATTTTATAACAAGTTTGTTCAGTAAGCTTAAATGTCGTATAAATATGTTGTGTAAACGTTTGTAAAACAGTATTAAATTTGTCGTAAAACTGTTTTGTATTTTTGCCTTGCATCTTGAATTGCGTTTAGCGCTTACCATCGGATTTTTTGATAAATATTTTACTAAAATCTCCTATAGACCAAAACCATTTAATAAGAACTCTCAAGGTGACAAAAGTATTTAGTAACATGGAAGCCATATTTCAAGTTGTTTCAACTACACTTTACGACGGCCATTTTTAAGGCAGCAGAAGTGGCCGCAGTAGTAGACTCTTCGGTGTTTTGGTAGACCTTCTCATATTTGACTTTTACGAAAAATAATAAAGGGTTCGAGAAAGTTGAAAACTACCCTCACCCCTACATAAATTATAGCAGAATTTTTTTCCAACTTTCCCGACGACTCATTACAATTTTATACTAAGTGACATATAAATCCGAACACCCAGTTTAAATGGTTTTATTTTAATAAAATTTTTTATAAGTACTTAATGAAGCATAATAAATAAATGATAAAAATTTCAAAATGATTGCACTGCTTTAAAGGCCTTTGGCCTTTAATAATGTGTGGATGCACCCTGATGTGCTACGCATTCTCCAACGCGCCTAGGCATGCTTCTGGTCAGGTGGTCAATGTCCTCCTGTGGTATCTCATTCCAGGCAACCACCAACTCCTCTCGAAGTACTTCTAGAGTCTGAGGGGGACGTTGCAAATTGAGCAATCTCCTACCCATCATATCCCACACGTGCTCAATTGGGGATAAGTCGGGAGATCTTGGTGGCCATGGTAACAATGTGACATCATTATGTTGAAAGAAGTCTATTGTGACTCTTGCAATATGTGGTCGGGCATTATCTTGTTGGAAAGTTGGATCTGCCAGGGTGTCAAGATAGGGTAAAAGATGGGGTTCTAGAACTTCGTGGATATAACGCTGCGCGTTCATGTTGCCTCTGATGAAGATTAAAGGTGACCTGGAACCATAAGCTATAACACCCCAAACCATAGCTCCAACAGTGTGATGAACATGTCTTTCAACAAAAAACTGTGGATTCCTCCTTTGACCACGTCGCCTTCTAACCCTGGCACGACCATCGTGCATGCCTAAACAAAATCGAGACTCGTCACTAAAGACAATACTGTTCCATTCCTCATCCCAGAGTGACCGTTGTCTGCACCACTCAAGGCGATTACGTCGGTGTTCTCGAGTTAAAGGGAGGACCCAGTGTGGCCGGTATGTAAAACAAGCCAAAACTTCTCATTCGTCGGTAAACACTTCGCATGCCAATAGGTCTTCCGTGTTCTGCAAACCATTCATTTCCAATGGACCTGGTAGTGGAGAAACGGTCCCTTAAGGCCAATAATCTTAGGCGGCGATCTTCACGGTCTGTTGTTCTACGGCGGCGTCCAGTGCCCCTTGCTCTTTGCGTACGGCCTTCTCGAAGCCATGCCTGACAACACCTAACCACAGTGTCTACACTTCTTTGCACTCTACCTGCAATTGCCCGAAAAGAAAGTCCAGCTTCCCGAAGTCCCACTATACGGCCCCTATCAAACTCACTAAGTTGACGAAATCGTACAGGTCTCCGTACTCTAGGCATCGTAACCGATCGTAAAGGATGTCAAGAACCAAAATCCGCCAACGTTGATTCTTTACTGCGGCTGAAATATTCATTTTTAGAGCGTTAGTGAATTAAAAAAAAAGCAGTATAAAAACCGGAATGTCCAACTGATTTTGTTATTTACAGTAAGATAAATACATTCACCAACTTTTATTAAAATAAAACCATTTAAACTGGGTGTTCGGATTTATATGTCACTTAGTATATTTAATACAGGCAATCGTGCGAATCTTTCATATAAGGTGTTCAATATGACCACTATTTTCGTTCCTGCACAAAACAATACGGCGAAAATAAATTAACACTTGATATGATGACCAATTTTTGTAGAAACCAGCACCGAACATTTTTTTTTCTCGAAAACTATGCGGGATGGAATGTTTTTATAGGGGACAAAAATGACGTAAACAAAAGGTCTTTTGAATTAAAAAAATTTAGAGTGGTTGTGAAAGTTGCGAAAAAATTCTGCTACAGTTTATGCAGGGTGGGGGTGGTTTTCACTCTTCTAGAACTTTTCTGTTTCTTGTAAAGTCAAACATTAGGACGTCCAGCAAAACACATGTGTTGAGATCCAAAAATATATGAAAAATGTGTTTTAAAAAGAAAACTGTCTCCTTATAACAGGTTGCATAGAGGTAAATCATGTCCAGTCCACTTATTTTGAATCTAAAAATACATAGGTCTCCTATGTCCACGAAATATTGGGACACCTTGTATCAGTATATTTATATGCTCGCAGCCACGGTAATACTACGCACCCATTAGCGATACTTCCCCATACATTTGCCGTTAAAACTTGACGATATGGGAAGGGGCAGCGTTGCCAAATGGACGGTACCTTCCGGTAGGGCTGGGAAATGTCTATGGACTAATCGTATGGGTCCGTTTGACTGACTTGAACCATCTTTTATGCTCTTCCAGGAAAATACATGGTGATCGACGGTCCTTCATCGTCATCCATCATGGCCGCCATCCAAGCCACCAGTAATAGTACCAGCAGTACCACTTCTTCCAGCAACCACCATCGACAGCACCGAATTGGAACCAGCAGTGTTAGCGAATTCTACGAAGGGAAAACGGTGTTCATCACGGGCGGTACCGGTTTCATGGGCAAGGTGCTGCTTGAGAAACTGCTGAGGTCGTGTCCGGGAGTGTCCAAGATCTACCTGCTCATCAGGCCCATGAAGGGACAAGATGCTCATGAAAGGTTGCAGCAGCTTCTGTCATCGCCGGTGAGTCTTCCATTCTGTATCTTTTATAAAGGCCGGCAGGGTTATTACGTGAAAACCTATATAATGTCAAAAAACCGATAAAATTTCATCTTGCTGACTAAATAGTACCTAGTGTGGAAATAGTTCATTCCGCGCTTGCTCGCTATGAGCGCTGTCAGCGTCAGCCTAGCGTCATGTATGGCGGAATGACTCAACGATATGCTTGCGTGCTTTGTTGGTTGCAGAATGCCGAGATAGTCTGAAGAGTACGACAAGATGTTAAAGAAAGAAAATTAGTTGAATAGCAAGATCGCATCTGGATGACTGGTGATTGTGTGTATTGGTCTGCATGTGTATAAAATCAGTGATATTTGCTATGTGAGAAAATTATTACTGAGTATGCTGCACTTGCCGTATATTAGCTGTAGTAGACGGGTTATTTGTCTTGTCCTTTCTGAAGAGGGGTTATGTTGAAAGTTATAAACTACAATTTTCCCCGTTTTTTGCGTTTTCAAAAACTTTGGGAAGCATTGCAGGAAATCACCACTGCGTTGTGCACTGGCGCGCTCCCCCCTCCTAGACGTCTGACATTTGCTTTTGCAATCTAACTCCATTGTGTTACTTTCTGTCACATCATGGTGAGAGAGGCATATTAACTATAAGTTATAGCTATAGAATTTGAGCATTATGATTTTTTGCTATTGGTATTCCAAGTGCTGTCGCTCTTTGACATCACTTGTTTTCAGCACAACTCTGACGATTTATACGTATATACGAGTATTGTGACTTGTGACAAATCTAAGTCTGGGTAATATATTAGCTATACAGATTGTTCTATTTGTTGCTCAATAGCAATTTGAAAAGTGTGTAAAGCTTGACTGATTTTGTTCGGGGTTAGTGTTGCAGCGAAGCACTATATAAGATGAATGCATAGTTTTGTGAGGCTGACTGATTCGGGTCTGTAGTTTTTATCTCTGACAAGAAAGTTGGATGAATAGCAAGATCGCATCTGGATGAGAATGTGTATTGGTCTGCATGTGTATAAAATCAGTGATATTTGCTGTGTGAGAAAATCATTACTGAATATGCCGAATATGACGGGTTATTTATATGTTGTGCTTTCTGAAGAGAGGTTATGTTCAAAGTTATAAATTACGAAAAACTGAGGAGAATTACGGGAAATCATCACCGCGCCCGCGTTGTGTGTAATTACTGTTAGCATTTATATGGCTTGTAATTCGACAATGTACAGTGAATATAATTATTTCTTATCTCGCTCATTTTTGAAATTCAGCAAATTTGTATAGGTAATTTCCAGAATGGATAAGAAAAAGTGGATGCGCAACTAATTTCTAGCTTTGAATCTGAATTAAGTGTACTTGAGACAGGAACCCAATGTAATTATCATCAACACATACAACTTACAGCTTAGACCTCCAGTAATGCCATCTCAGAAGCAGATTTTACATCACATCAAAGCCAAAGATTTATAACAAGCCTCATGACGTTTAGGCAACACGTACAACTATATGCTAAGCTGCTAAGTTAACATCTTGTAGAATAACCTATATAATGTCAAAAAAGAAAACAGCATAATAGGCGTATTTTTTAATTCACCGGTTGAGCCACCGGTGCAACCAATTATCCAATTTTACTTCCTTTAATTTCCGTCTGAGCGACAGGTTGTACACCAAACTTGTCTATATAGTTTATAAATCAAATCCAAGCGAATAACCTAAATTTCTGTGTTATGTGCCGCGGTTATAATATGGTTCAAGATGACGCACGGGTTGATGACGTCAGTTACACGAATCGCTTGAACGCGTTGGTTTTAACCGCGGTTTTGTTGCAAGTTGTTTATTTTAGAAAAGCGCGTATACAGGGTTATCCAAATTAAGTGCCCACCATTAGTAACTTTGTTATTAGTGAAAATACAAAGTTGTTTGAATTAGCAAACTAGTAGCATTTTTAACGCTGGTAAAAATGAGAAATAAAAAAAAACAATTGAGAGTCGTTATTTTGATTTTTTTCAGTAAAATAACATTTTTTTAAATGGAAACCCCTGTATATTATATTTTTTTCTGTTAAAGCATCAAATTTTAAACAAAAAAGCTTACAATAACTTTTCTCCTAGGTTACAAATTGTTGAAGTTATGGCCTCCAATCTGAAACAATTAAATTGTATCGACAAACTTTATTTTCAACATCAACTTATAATCTTACAAAATACAATAACAATTTTTTTTAAAGAAGATGCTCGAAAACACCACCTTGTTCTTCAATACATTTTTGGGCACGTTTTTCAACTGCTCGAACTGTCTTAAGTATGGTCCTACCATCTATCTGGGTTATCTTTTCCCTAACTGCAGTCTTTAACGCGTCAAGGTTATCGTACCTTCGCTTGTAAATTTGGTTCTTTAAGTAACACCACAAGAAGTAATCAAGTGGGTTTAGATCTGGTGATCTGGGAGGCCACTGTATTGGGGCATTTGTTCCTATCCACTGATCATTAAAAGTAGTACTTAGAAAATGATAAGTACCTCTGGAGTTGTGGGCAGGTGCGCCATCTTGCTGAAAATGCAGATGATGTCTACTTATAAGATCCAATTCGTCTAAGAAATTAGTCAGAATTTCTGACATAAATTCCACATATCTTTCACCAGTTAGGGTTCCCTCATAAAAGAACGGGCCAACAATTTTTGAACCAATTATACCGCACCAAACGTTGAAACTGAAACGGACTTGTGGGCCTCTTGGATGTACTAACAAAAGATTTTCTCTTGACCAATAATGGTGGTTTTTTCTATTAAACATTCCAGAATTTGAAAAATTTGATTCATCTGTCCATAAAAGGTAACGAAAGTTATTTACATTTTGGCGACAGAAGCTAAGATACCAATGGCAAAAAACAAGTCTTCTCTCTGGATCCCCTGCCAAAAGCGTTTGAACTGGTCGGTACTTATACGGAATAAATTTTTATTTTTTTAAAATCCTTTGAACAGTACCATAACTGAAATTAGAGTCCTTGAGAATATCTGCTATTGAATTCTCACGATAAGCTTCAAAATATCCAATAACTGCAATTTCCGTGGCCTCGCTTATTATGAATTCTTTTTTTGCCCTTGTTTTAGCAAAAACATTTTCGTTGCCCCTAAATTTTCGATAAAGTCTCAGAAAATATCGTTCATACGGTTGAATGCGAGCGAGATATAATTCACTCTTGCTCTCAAGGAGGATTTTCTGCACACTAAATAGCATTCTAACATATCACACTTTTCTTCATGGGAGAACATTTTTCTTTAAATTAATGACACAATAAAGCTTATAAACAAGTATTTACACTAATGTTTGACATTATTTGATTTTATCATTGTTTTCCAAAGCCTTCTAGTTGCGAGTATGTCCAGTTTAACAATTTGTCGCTTATCTTAATGCTGTCAAATCGCGAACGCCATGTTGTTTTCATAGCCGTCTTAATATTATAATACTGCAAATAATTAAAAATATTTATCGTTATTTTGACTTTATTTTTGACTTTAGCGGAAAAGTCATTATGAACTTTTTTGTTTAAAATTTGATGCTTTAACAGAAAAAAATATAATATACAGGGGTTTCCATTTAAAAAAATGTTATTTTACTGAAAAAAATCAAAATAGCGACTCTCAATTGTTTTTTTTTATTTCTCATTTTTACCAGCGTTAAAAATGCTACTAGTTTGCTAATTCAAACAACTTTGTATTTTCACTAATAACAAAGTTACTAATGGTGGAAACTTAATTTGGATAACCCTGTATAATCTCTGATTATTTTTATCATCACTTAATAATCGGTGCTTTTTCGTCTACAACTGTATATGGAAAGTTTAAATAAGAAATCTTTCATAATATTCATGGGAGAAATGCTTTTTCAGATTTTTTTTTACGATGGAACCATGGCTTTGTAGCTATGATAACTTTCAATTCTCTAAATTTTTCCGCATGTCAAAGAAAACATTTATTGATTCAGCAGAAATGATGAAAAAAGAAATTAGCAAAACCGTATACAGGTTAATATTCTTGTGGTATATGGCTACACAGGATACTTTGTTAAGCATAGGAACTACATTTAAAGGGTCCCCAACAACCGTAATGAGTATAACTAATGAGGTGCTCCACTTTATGGTAAAACTGAAGTCAGCCTGTATCATTTTTCTCAAAAATGAAGCTGAAGTACATAACAATATCCAATACCCGGCAAAATTCTAACTTGTCACATTTCAAATAATAACCAGAAATATAAAACTACTCTTGAGTTGGGTAAATACCACAATTTTGCGGTGATAACTATGACATATAACAGCTGATTCGTGACGTCACGGATCTTATAACCAAACTGATAACTACACTCGCTTGAACGGATTGGTAAATACCAACCCAAAATGGTAAATACCATTTCCATTTGGTTATCCGCTTGAATTTGATTATAGTTTATAGACAATTTTGGTGTACAACCGGTCACTCAGACGGAAATTAAAGGAAGTAAAATTGGATGATTGGTTGCACCGGTGGCTCAACCGGTGAATTAAAAAATACGCCTAATGTCAAAAAGAATCGGCATAATGTCACTTTTCAAGATACGTGATACCCGTGCCGAACTTGTTCCCTGGCCATGCCGGAACAGACCTATAACTAGATAATCAGCTGTTATTCCACCGTAATATTATCTTTGAATGGACATCCGAATTCGGGCAAAAGGATTTCAGAAAATCATACACAAAGGGTTAGAATTAATTGCTTTGTGAGTTGGATAGCTCTGTATCACTTCTACCCTCGAGCCTCTTGATATTATGCATGAAAGTGTAGGGCTTGGTAGGGCGAAGCGTACTTATGAATACCAAGCAGCGGAGCTTCATTCAAAAGCAAGAGAAAGGCTTATCTAGGTTAGGTCATTCATTTTACGCCGCCTTGCTTTTAATAGAAACGTTTTTCAATATGCTGAAATATCGTCCACATTATTGGCTCACAGAATATTTGTAAAATGTT